CAGTGAAAAGGGGGGAAAGCACACCACGCTTCAAATACATGTTATGTTACCACAAACCACATGGGATGTCCACAAATTATTAGGTGATAGGTAACAGCTTAGGGCTTTTTGCCTGCACAGCATCAACAATTCATTCTTTCAGAAACAAGAATCTGTCTCCCACTATCATTGGATGTGGTCTTTGGGTGGGGGTGGGGCAGCTATTAATCAAGTGTGCTATTTCTAATACTGATCCCAGGTGATAGTGACCAAAGCTGGAATAATAACTCTTCCCCTGGAATTTAAAACTTGTGCTGAGAAACTATGTGACCAACAACTTTTGGAGCTGGTTCTCAGAGCATGAATTTGAAGAGTTTTCCACATCTACCAAGTCTGCCCAAACCCTAAGAGCTCACTTAGCTACTAACCTTTATGCACATAAACTAGAAAATCTAGAGAAAATGGCTAAACTCCTGCATTCATACACCCAGGACTGAACCAGGAAGAAACTGAATCCCTGAATAGACTAATAATGAGTTCTGAAATTGAGATGGTAACAAATAGCCTGCCAACCAAAGAAAGTCCAGGACCAGATGGATTCACAGTTGAATTCTACCAAGGTACAAAGAAGAGCAGTCACAATTCCTACTGAAACTATTCCAAACAATTGAAAAGAAGTACTCCTCCCTAACTCCTTCTATGAAGCCAGCATTATCCTGATACCAAAACTTGGCAGAGATACAACAACAAAAGAGAAAACTTCAGGCCAATATCCTTGATGAATATCAATGCAAAAATCCTCAATAAAATACTGGCAAACTAAATCTAGCAGCACATCAAAAAGCTTATCTCCCATGATCAAGTTGGCTTCATCACCCAGGTGCAAGGTTGGTTCAACATACACCAATCAATAAATGTGATTCATCACATAAACGGAACTAAAGACAAAAACCACATGATTATCTCATGGATGCAGAAAAGGCCTTCAATAAAATTCAACATTCCTTCATGCTAAAAACACTCAATAAACTAGGTGTTAAAGGCACATACTTCAAAATAATAAGAGCCATATACGACAAACCCTCAGCCAATATAATACTGAATGGGCAAAAGCTAGAAGCATTACCCTTGAAAACCAGCACAAGACAAGGATGCCCTCTCTCACCACTCCTGCTCAACACAGTATTGGAAGTTCTGGCCAGGGCAATCAGACAAGAGAAGGAAATAAAGGGTATTCGAATAGGAGGAGAAGAGATGAAATTATCTTTGTCTGCTTATGATATGATCCTTTATCTAGAAAACCCCATCATCTCAGTCCAAAAGCTTCTTAAGCTGATAAGCAACTTCAGCAAAGTCTCAGGATACAAAATCAATGTGCAAAAAATGCTAGCATTCCTATATACCAACACCAGGCAAGCCGAGAGCCAAATCCTGAATGAACTCCCATTCGCAATTGCTACAAAAATAAAATACCTAGGAATACAGCCAATAAGGAAGTGAAAGACCTCTTCAAGGAGAACTACAAACCACTGCTCACAGAAATCAGAGAGGATACAAACAAATGGACAAACATTCCATGCTCATGAACGGGAAGAATCAATATCATCAAAATGGCCATACTGCCCAAAGTAATTGATAGATTCAATGCTATTCCCATTAAACTTTCTAATTCCTCCCTAACTCCTTCTACGAAGCCAGCATTATCCTGATACCAAAAACTGGCAGAGACACAGCTCCAAAAAAGAAAACTTCAGGCCAATATCCTTGATGAACATCAATGCAAAAATCCTCAATAAAATACTGGCAAATTGAATCCAGCAGCACATCAAAAACTTATCTACTATGATCAAGTTGGCTTCATCACTGGGGTGCAACACAGAAGACATTCTTCACAGAATTAGAAAAAAACTATTTTATGGAAACAAAAAGAGCCCAAGTAACCAAGATAATTCTAAGCAAAAAGAACAAAGCTGGAGACATCACACTACCAGACTTCAAACTATACTAAAAGGCTACAGTAACCAAAACACCATGGTACTGGTGTAAGAACAGACACATAGACTGATGGAACAGAATAGAGAACTCAGAAATAAGACTACACACCTAAAATTATCTGATCCTTGACAAACCTAGCCAAAACAAGCAATAAAGGATTCTCTATTAAATGGTACTGGGAAAAATAGGTAGCCATATGCAGAAAATTGAAACTAGAACCCTTCCTTTGACTACATACAAAAATTAATTCAAGATGAATTAAAGACTTAAATGTCAAACCTAAAACTATAAAAACCTTAGAAGAAAATCTAGGTGATACCATTTAGGACATAGGCATGGGCAAAGATTTCATGACCAAAACATCAAAAGCAACTGCAACAAAAGTAAAAATTGAGAAATGAAACCTGATTAAACTAAAGAGCTTCTACACAGCAAAACAAACTATCATCAGAGTGAACAGACAACCTACAGAATGGGAGAAAATTTGTACAATCTATCCATCTGACAAAGGTTTATATCCAGCATCTTCAAGGAACTTAAACAAATTTAGAAGAATAAAACAGGCCCATTAAAAAGTGGGGCAAAGGACATGAACAGACACTTCACAAAAGAAAACATACATCTAGCCAAAAAAAACATGAAAAAAAGCTCAACATCGCTCATCATTACAGAAATGCAAATCAAAACCACAATGAGATACTATCTCATGCCAGTCGGAATGGCTATTATAAAAAACTCAAAAAACAACAGATGCTGTTGAGGTTGCAGAGAAAAAAGGAATGCTACTGCACTGTTGGTGGGACTGTAAGTTAGTTCAACCACTGTGGAAGACAGCGTGGTGATTCCTCAAAGATCCAGAGGTAGGAATACCATTTCACTTAGTATTCTCATGACTGGGTAAACAGCCAAAGGAATAGAAATCATTCTCTTATAAAGATACATGCATATGTATGTTCAGTGCAGCACTATTCACAATAGCAAAAACATGGAATTGACCTAAATGCCCATCAACGATAGATGGAGAAAATGTGGTACATAGAGAATTCTATGCAGCCATAAAAAGGAATGAAATCATGTCCTTTGCAGGGGCATGGATAAAGCTGGAAGCCATTATCCTCAGCAAACTAATATGAGAACAGAAAACCAAACACTGCATGTTCTCACTTACAACTGGAAACTAAATAATGAGAACACATGGATACATGGTGGGGGAACGCCACATACTGGGACCTGCCGGAGGGGTGGGGTAGGCAGGAAGAGCATCAGGAACAATAGCTAATGGATGCAGTGCTTGATACCTAGGTGACGGGATGATCTGTGCAGCAAACTACAGTGGCACATGTTTACCTATGCAACAAACCTGCACATTTTACACATGTACCCTTGAACTTAAAAGTCGAAGAAAAAAAAATAGCTGTGTGTGGCAATGCATATCTGTAGTCCCAGCTACTCAGGAGACTGAGGTGGGAGGATCAACTGAGGCCAGGAGGTCTCAGCTATAGTGGGTCAAGATCAATCCACTACACTCCAACCTGGGTAACAGAGTAAGACCCTGTCTCAAAAAAATAAATAAATGAAAAATGAATATGCCTTGAAAGAAAAAAAGAAATTCCCTTCAATATGTTGAGACAAGGGGACTACATGGGCAGTGTGCACAAAATTCATTCCTACACTTGTTCAAATTTAGAATCATAACTGAATTATTACAACACACATAATTCCAAAATTGCTGGTATTGGTAATATTTTTTAAAAGGTAGTGAATTTTTTTCACAGTATTGTCCAAGAGACTTTTAATTCAAGAAAAAAAAACCAATTATATGTAGTTGCCAAAACACACATATACACACGCAAGTGCACAAACATACCCCTATATATTATTTATAAAACCGAAGTCAGTGTAAGTAACATTTATATTTATTTCATTCATTGCTATCCTGATATTGTGATTTTGCATTAAAAAATGCACAAGCAAGTTAACACCTGGAGAAACAGCTGTTGGTGCAATGACAACATTCCTGGAGCTAATGTCAAAAGATCTGGGGTCAAATATGGATGTCATCATGTATCAGTATGTGGCCTTGGACAAATCATGTAATTGGTACTGCTGAGTTTCTGTTTATCTATAGATGGAAAAAATTTCCACTTACATCCTAGAATCACTGTCAAAATAAATGAAATGGCGTGTTGTGCCACCAAGTTTTTCACTCTCCTTTCCTCTCCTTAAAGTAGCCTTTCCTGCCCTTAGAACTAGACTTTATTGCTGTGTAATTATGAGGTGCAGGTAACAATGTCCAAGAAACTAGACGGTGAATAACCTCAATATGCAAACCTGAATGTTAGTTGGCTATCATCTAGATCCCAAAGGGTTCTTGCACACTATCTGTTGCTTCCCAGAAATCTGATTTTCTTTCCTGAATACAGCCAAAATCACCTATGGGCTTTGAAATATCGCCATCATGATACTGCACAAAGCAGCTGGTTGATTGAAAGTGACTACCCCTCCCCCACACTCCAGCTGTCACCAGGAAACCCTCCTCAATGTGTGAAAAAGACAATATCACTAACTACCACTATTAACAACAATCTAACAAATACTTAGCATTTGAAATTATTTTTCTTATGAAGGCTCATTATTAACTAAAAATTAACTGTCTAAAAAAGCACTTTACCATATAAAGTAGTTGCTTTCATACAACAAAAAAATGATAGGGCTATAAACACAAGTAATACATTTCCTTTAACTTCCTGTTTCTTTGTCCCTGAGTCATTTGTAATCCTAAACAACAGTCAGTTAAAATATCAAATAGCTTTCAATAGTGATAGAGCTGTCACAACTTGGACGGATTTTTTTTAAAGCTAATTCCTCAAAAAAGTGCACAGAATCCTACTTTGTAAAGTATGGGTCAGGTAGATTTTTGTTTTCTCAATAATCACTCACTCCCCCACATGAGAAGCCATTCACATGGTGACATGGCTGCCAACCTTGGAAATCCTCTTCAGAACAAGTTTGTGAATCCCACTCACCAGAATTCTTAATGCCATTACTTTTTAGGCATAGCTCATGCCCTGAGGATTTCTATTTCACCACAGAGTTTCAAGTTCCTCAGCTCCTGAGGTTTACAGATAAGATTAAGAGGCTCCCTGTTGAAAAAAGATATGAGGACCACTGTTTACATGACTATAACTGCAACATAAAAGGAAATCTACCTTTTAAAGAATCACTTCTGTTTTTAATCGTTTAAAAGAACTTTTACATATACATGTATTTATCTAGCTTTACATAAATATACAGATTGTTTGATTTTATACTTGTTTCCCCCCTGCCCACCACATTCTAATACATTGACAAGTAAACAAAATTATGACCTAGTATGAGTTCAAGTATTTTCTGTGCTCAGACATTAATATGCAATATATACACACAAAAATACATGTAATAGATGTTATCACTTAAAATGGAATGTAAAAGTTTTCACTTTGCTATCATTAAGCATTTGTGTTTTTAAAAAATATTAGCAATTTCAGGGCTAACAGCATTTTCTTATTCTTTAGCACATAGCTTCAATGAGGTCTAATTTTCTGTAACAGTGCCCCCTTCTCTAGCTGACTGGTCCTCATTAACAGAAGGTACTTTATTACTCATCCCCGACCTTTGGATATTTACCTTCCCATAAACATCCAAAACAATTTATAGAAGTTGCTCGATAAGACTCAAGACTGGGTTTTTTCCATGTAAAGTTTTAACATTTTTCAGGTGTTTGTTTTTTCTTATTCACAATAATGTTAAAGTTTTGACTCTTCATCTTTTATGGTTAAAAAGAAAAGCAGTGGAGTTAGGTAATAAAATTACCTCATTTATAAAAATATTATAAAATGAATGGCATAAAGTTAGGTTTGGGGTGATAAACACCTTTTTTTTCCCCTTGTCCTACATGCAACATTTACTGAGCCTCTACGCCTAAAACAAGGTGGACATGTTTTATGCATTATTTCATTTAATTCAATGGCCTGAAGCAGCACATCCTATGACTCCTACTTTACAGGAGAAATTAAAGTGGGAAGGGTGTTAATTTGTCTAATGGAAACAATCACTAAGTAGCAAAGGCAAGATTCAGAGCAGGGCCTGTCTGACCCAAAACCACAGATAGAGATTTGCCTCTCTGATAAGGAGAACAAAAACATATTTGAGGCCTTTGAAAAATAAACATTTCATGATGAGACAGTGCCAGTTTGGTGGCAAAGCTAATGAAATTATTTGCAGAAGTAATAATCCATCCAAAGTGACTATGTTTATGTGAAAACTCTCTCAATATCCAGGAGCCATGGTGTAGCCTTGGGGGCAGTGTGTTCTAATGAAAACCACATGTGTAGGCCACGGTTTGGCACTGACCTTCTCAACATTGCAAAGAACCTAGCCTTTAGAGCAGCTGCCCTAAATCCTGAATATTTATTTCTCCCCCTACACGGAGCCCCTGAAAGAGGTAAAGTTGTAAGAAAACACTGCATCCAAAAAACACAGGAGGTTGAGGGCACTCCTGTGATCCTTCCTGCAAATGGAGCTATCTAGAGAGACATGATACCGTCTTCGCTATCGTGGAGCTGTGTGACATATGGGAAACAAAGATAAGGATACAAACATCTTCAGCCTTGGCTTTTGCTTACAAGTCACTAAGATACGATACTTCTCAACTGGTCTTTACCAAATTCCGGGTCAAAAGAAGGTAAAACTAAACTCAAGACAAGGCATGGGGACCACCTGAGGTCATGAGTTCGAGACCAGATTGGCAAACGTGGTGAAACCCTGTCTCTACTAAAAATACAAATATTAGCCCGGCATGGTGGTACACGCCTGTAATCCCAGCTACTTGGGAGGCTGAGGCAGGGGAATCGCTTGTACCCAAGAGGCAGGGGTTGCAGTGAGTTGAGATCGCACCCTTGCTCTCCAGCCTGGGCAGCAGAGGGAGACTGTCTCCAAATAAATAAATAAAACTGAAGAGATCAGAGGGCCAAAGAATCAAAAACTACTCTTCAACATGAATACTAACGCTATTCTTAAAAATACTACAATAGAGTATGTACTACTGTAACTTTCAACATCCTGCATCCAACAACCTTGACTACACAGAGTTGAGAACCCTGAGGTAAACAAAATACTAAGCATTAAACATTTTTCTTGCATTTTCGTATTACAGCCCTATAAGGTAACATGTCCAAGTTTCTCCATCTAGGAATTACTTCAATTCAAATTCCATTATATATGACTTCACAATGGGTGTTATCACTACGCCAGTAATTCTCAAACTTTAGCATCCAGGCAACTGAAAGCCTTGTTAAAATATATTTTTGATTCAGTAAGTTTGAGGTAAGACCCCTAAATGTGCATTTCCAAGAAGTTCCCAAGTGATGCCGATGCTAGAGTCCTGGGACTATTTAGAAACCAATGGACTTCTACTCTCCTTGGAAAAAGTGCTTGCTTTCCACAGCGATGCCAGTCCCGCAGCAAACTAGAAGCCTTTAAAGTTTATTAGAACCATCCCCGAAAAGACACACAACTATGAGAAATCAAAGGCTTCTAACAAGCAATTTCAAAGGGGGGAAAAAAAAGTCTGCGTGTACTGCAAAGAAACCTAAACACCTCGATAACTGAATCATAACTAAGCAGGCAATCATTCATTTTGACAGTAACGCTTAGTCTTTAAGAGAGTTTATGCTCAGTTTGGAAAAACAAGCCTGTGATACGTTTCTTGCAAAGGTCTATCCAAAGGTTTTTAGGGTTTGGGCAGAAAGGGTTTACTTTGGTAGACTTTTTGTCCTTTAATTACCGTGGTGAGAATTAGGCTTGTTCTGAGAAACTGAAAGTTTTCCCGAGGGCACCTGAAACTGCAGGCTGTGCTACTGATGCAACGTCATTGCATGATTGCATGATTCAAACTTCCTGCTTTCAAAAGGAACCCTTCATACTCGCTCAGAGCCAACCCCTTCCTCCGAGTATGAGTACGTCGCTCCCGAGCGGTCAGGCGGAGATGGGGCAACGTCGACGAGACCCGGGTGGAGTTGTCCCAGGAAACCCCCTCCTAGCTCTCGGATTTGCCCGGGACGGGGAGGTTGTACCTCCAACCCCGCAACGCCTCCCTAGCCCTAGCTCCCCGGGAGGCGCCGACCTCCGCCCGGCAGCCCCCAACCCGGCCGCCGGCGCCCGCAGCCCCGGGAAACCGCGAGAGACGCCGCGCAGAACCGACGACAACAGCCAGACCACACAGATGCGGAAACTCACGCTCTCTACGACCAGCCTGCGTCCCCACGTCTTTGCGTGCACGTGCGTCATCACGCACGTTCCCAATTCCCCTGCGCCCCGGGTAACTGCCGGCCAGGTGCGGGAGGGGAGGGCTTTAAAGCAGACGGCTCGGCCGCAGCGCATGCCTAGTTGTGCGGGCCCGCGTTCTGCTGTTTGCGGACCGCGTGGGGCTGCAGTGGCCAAAAAGGGGCCGCGAGGGCACAGCAAGGCAAAACCGCAGGCAGAGCGCAGTAGGGAGAGCGTAGACCCTCGCCCTGTCCTCCAAGCTCCATGTGCAATATGGATAATAATATTCCTTACTGCCATAAATAGACACTGGCAGCTTACCACACGTAAAGCAGACCAGCGACCTGCGCTCGAGGGACAGGACAAAGAGGGGAGAAGCGGCGAGTGGGTCCTGGCCGCCTGCCCCGGGGGGCGCCTCTGCCCGGGATCTCTGCCGGGAAGCTTCGTCCTTCTCGGCCCCAGCGCAGCGGCAGACTGGGGAGCTGCTGCCCGGAGCGCCTGTGAGTCGGAGGGTGGGAAGGACGCTCTCCTGCTTCAGGAGCTATCTGCAGACCGCGGGAGGGCGGCTTATCGCAGAGTCCCAGAGCCGGCTAGCAGGGCAAGGTTGCGGGGTGCACCTTTCACTCCCAGAAGCTTGAGTCTGGAACTGCACCACGCAGCGTTTGCCCATTTTGAGGGTTTTAGGTGTTTCGTATTAAAGTTCATAGAATTTTGATTAATAGATCATTTGATACAATTTTAATTGTTTGCTACTCGGGAGCAAGTTTTATGTTCAGTTGTAGGAGTCAGGCTAAGTTAAATGTTGCAAGTGGTATCTATATTTATTTCATAAGATATATAAAAACTATCTTACAGCGGGCGCGGTTACTCACACCTGTAATCCCCACACTTTGGGAGGTCGAGGCAGGAGGCTCGCTTGAGCTCAGGAGTTTAAGACCAGCCTGGATAGCAGTGAGACCTTGTCTCTAAAAAACCACAGACCGAATGCAGTGGCTCACGCCTGTAATCCGAACACTTTGGGAGCCGAGACAGGCGGATCACCTGAGGTCAGAAGTTCAAAAACAGCCTGGCCAACATGAGAAACCCCGTCTCTACTAAAAATACAAAAATTAGCCAGGCACATGGTGGTACACGCCTGTAATCTCAGCTAATCTGGAGGCTGAGGCAGGAGAGTCGCTTGAACCCTGGAGGCAGAAGTTGCAGTGAGCTGAGATCCTTCCACTGCACTCCAGCCTGGGCGACGGAGTGAGAATCCGGAAAAAAAAAGAAAAACACCAAAAACTGCCTTCTTATTTGGTATGGAATTTTCTGATCCGGTAAAGATGCTCTTTTTCCAAGGCTGAATCCGAGTATAGGTGGTTTAGTGTTGCTGTTTGTTTATTGGAAGTTGTAGCAGCTGTGTTTAGATAGTCTGCTGAAACAAATACTGCCTAAACTGGAAGAGTTTATCTTTTGCCATTGTGTATTAAAACTCTTCAGAGAGATATTTATTCTGGAGTTTGAAATGTAAGTGAAAATGTGGCTCATGCATAGGTATGGGTGTACATATGACTTTCAAGTGACAAAGAAGATTCTTAGCAAATTGAATAATTCCTTAAGACTTATCAGTTACCCCTTTCCTAGAAAAACAATATACTCCAAAAGCTCAGCTGACAATGAGAAACTGCATTTCTGGAAATGAAAAGTCAAATGGATATGGGGAAAAGTAAATTGTCTATAGAGGCATTTTCTATATTTCCCTAAAGGGGGAAATGTGTAATTTCTCAAAAGGAAGAAGTCCTCATTTATCCTTCTGATCCACAATCATATGAATCCATTCAGCCAATGTTAATCTTATCTTCTATTCTCCATCACTCTCTACACCTTTCTATAATTGCATCATTTTCTTGTCTTTATCATAATGCATCAAATACAGAGGTGATTTTAAGGAAGCCACCAACTAAGAAGCCTCGATTCAGTAATTCCATTAAAATGTAGAAATAATAGGAATTAAGAATATACATAGGTAATTATGTTCTGTTTCAAATATTATCAATGAAAAATTTCATAGACATTTAAGAAGTAGAAGACATTTCACAGGTAGAAAAAAAATCTACCTTTTTAAAAATGCCCTTTTCTTTTGTCCTATGTGATTTGTTGAGCAGACTGGATTTTTTTTTTTAAGTTTATTGAAATGAGCATGTTATAACATGCTCATATCCCATTTAAACTGACAAACATCACTTGGATAATAACTGTATATCTTAAATATTAATATATGAAGCAGTTAGCACCATCCTTTCACTGAGCAAGGCTTAAAAATACCAAAGAATCAATGCCAGAAGAAATTCTTTAACATAAAAGGTATGTAATGACTACATTGCCATATACATCAATGATTTCTAAATGCTCAAAAGTATATATCTCAATCATGAGATGAGGCAGCAGTATGCACATTGTGTGTAATATGTGAGACGTTTAATGGTCTAAAATAATTTTTTTAACTTTTACTAAGGCTTACAGAAAAGCAGCAATACCTATGATTAAATCACCTGACTTATATGAATGTTTCTAAGATGTGGTGCTTGCACATAAGCAGAGGAGTTGTGGTAACAACCCTTGTACAGTTCACAAATCCATGACAGAAACTGGCAGGAAGGTAAACAAGCGCCATTCTCAGTTTTCAGAAGCCAGCCAGAAAGTGAGAGGATGACAGGCAACAATACCACTCAACAACACCAGGCAACAAATATACACCTGGATTATCTTTTAAAGGGAGAAGCTGTTTGAATTTCTAATTGCTTTTAATGATACACCCAAAACATACCAAAATATGTGTAAGACTGATCAAAGATTTATAACAAATAATTCAAGACTCAATTTAAGGACTGAAAAGTGAGAACGGGTTCATGTAACATAATGATAATAAGAACAACAATACTTAACAGTAGACCATGCAGACATTAACCATGAGAGATTTGTAGTGGCTATACTAATATCAGATGAAATAGACTTTAAGACAAGAAATATTTATTTTCTTTTTTTTCTTTTTATGACAGAGTCTCTCTCTGTTGCCCAGGTTGGAGTACAATGGCACGATCTCAGTTCATTGCAACCTCTGCCTCCTGATTTCAAGCAATTATCTTGCCTCAGCCTCCTGAGTAGCTGGGACTACATGCACCCATCCCCATGCCTAGCTGATTTTTTGTATTTTTTTTTTAGTAGAGATGGGTTTTAGCCATGTTGGCCAGGTTGGTCTCCAACTCCTGACCTCAGGTGATCCACCTGCCTCAGCCTCCCAAAGTGCTGGGATTACAGGTATAAGCCAGTGTGCCTGGCCTCCAATAAATATTTCTAGAGACAGAAATTCCATACTGATTAAGAGGGTCAATACATTGAGAAGATATAACAATTATAAATGTATATGCACCTAGTAACAGAGCCCTAAGTTCATGAAGCAAAAATGATTGAACTGAATATAGAAATATACAAACAACAGTTGTCTGATATCTCAGTACCCTACTCCCAATAATGTATGGAACAACTA